AAAAAAAAAAAAAAAATAGAGTCAGTAATTAGCTCAAAATAAATAAGGGCATTTGTATATTTGAATAATTTTTAAATTAATTTTAGGATTCATGCTTAATTTTTCCTCTGGTCTAAAATAAATTTTTTTTATTCCCAATCTCTAAATAACTAAATCCTATTTTTAAATGAGGGAGCTGCTACTGTTTCTGAAATTTCTCATTCCATTTTTATTTATGGACTGAGTAATCCTACTATTTGAAAACTCATTAACCACCTTGATACTGAATTCTTCATTAGATTGGAAACTGTATAAAAGAAGAGATGAGGGTAGGGCTTTCTATATTTATAAGCCAATTTTGACACACATTATATAGAAAAAATGAGTTTTATAAGTGCATATTTTAGAATGATACCATAGAAAAACATTTTTTATAGGAGTGCAGTTTCATTTTAAGACTAATTTGTATCATTTTTTTGTAAAAAAGGAAAAAAGGTATCTTTAAAGAACTTAATATCAAGTTGGGCTTTTTATGAAATGTCTTACATCAATCATCTCATTGTTAAAGAAATAAAAAATGTTACCAAACTATGGACTAGTATTGACTGATTGCTAAAAAAAAAAAAAGAAAGAAAGAAAGAAAGATAAGATCAAGGAATGCCCACAAATTGCATTTGTCCCACAGGTTGGAAGCACTCCCAGAAGATACTAGGAGAATATAACAAATACCGTATTTGATCAAACCAATCAATATTCATTGAGAGTAGGCCCAAGGGGCATTTTTATGGAAAAGCATGCCTGTTATTCCTGATAGAGACTTCTCATCCCAATCTTCTACATTCAGTTAGTATCTCTCAGAATTATATTCAACAAAACTGTAATCAAACCACATGGCTCCAACCATCTTTAAAGTGAAGGCTTTCCTACCAATTAGGGTTTTTCTCTTAGACGCTAATAGGTAAAATATCCTTCCATTTCCAATAAGCCTCAAAAATACTAACAGGTGTAGATTTGACCACAGAAATACTAAGTGGAACTGGGCTTTTAATAATATCAACAAGAAAGATAGCTAATGTTAGCTGAGAACTTGATGACTTTGGTGGGGAAAAAAAAGATGCTATGCATCTTATAACTAATCCCACCAATCATCACTGAATTATGAGAAAGTTTAATTTACCAGCAATGTCAGATGGTACCATCATTTTAATTCCATGAATGCTGACAGCAACAAAAATAAAGACCTAACCAAAAACTGGGATAATTTTAGAAACTACTATCTTCTTTATCAATATATTTCCTGATATTGAGTGTTTTAGTTCGTATCTGTCCTGAAATCACATTATGTGGAGGATTTTGTGAAAAATTAAATTTCTAAGAGGGTTATTCATTCAACTAGTAGATTTAATTGCCCATCTTAAGGGTTAAACATTGTGTTACTTTTGTGGTAATTTTGAAAATGAATATAAAAAACAATGACTCTTAAAAAGTATAGTAGGAATATAAAGACACACATATATCAATAGCTATGCTATAAAACAAGGGTTGACAAACTATGACCCACAGGCCAAATCCAGTCCATTGGCTGGAAACTAAAGTGGTTTTTACATTTTTAAATGGTTAGGGAAAAAATTCAAAGAATAAAAATATTTCATGATATAAAAATTTTATGAAATTCAAATTTCAATGTCCATAAATGAAGTTTTATTGGAACATAGCCACACCCGATTTCTTGCAATTTTACTGTCTATAGCTGCTTTTGTACTACAAAGCAGAGTTGAGTGACTGCAAGAGAGACCATATAACCACAGGCCTGAAATATATACCAACTAGTCCTTTGCAGAAAATGTTTGCCAACCCCTGATATAAAGCATACAGAGTTAAGTGCTTTAAGAACAGAGCTAAACAGATTACTTCAAGTTCAAGATTGGGAAATTATGACTTAGGAGGTGACATTTGACATCGGCCTTAAATAATGAGTAGGAGTTCAATAAACAGAGAGAAGTGGTATTATAATAGAAAAAAATATCCAAGAACGGCCCAGAAATAGGAAAGCACAGGATATATTTGATAATAAGGCAGAAAGAAAATCAACACTTAAAAGCTGATTGGGTATTAGAACAGGAGAGGGAAGGCAAATATGTCTTAAATTTTGAGCCAGAGTCATGGAAAAATGGTGGTTCCATAAACAAAAATGAAGAGTCAGACAGAGATAGGGTCAGGAAAAGAGTCAGGATTAGCTACATGGAATTGAGAAAGCAGCAGGGCACCCAAATGAATATATCCAATAGGCCACTGAAAATACTTATCTGTATCTCAGAAGGAAGGTTATGACCGAAAATAAAGAGTTGGGAACAATCGATATAAACATTTAAAGTAGTAGAATTTTTAACTGACTGTAACTCCAAGAGATACGTAGAAGATTATTTAGGAAGAGAATGTGCAGAGAAAAAGGGTTAAGGGCAAAGCTTTAGTGCTTGGTGTGGAATGCCTACACTTATGAGAAAGAGAATAATTGCTACACAAAAAAAAGAGTGTTCAAAGAGGTAGAAGAAAGTCAGGATAGGCCATAAAATTAAGGTGAGAAAGAAGAAAGTTTTAATGAGGGCAAGGAATACGTACCATACAACACTGAGCAAAGGCTTTTGTGGTTTTTTCTTTAAGTCTGGGAAACACAAGCTTCTTTTGAGAATAAGAGATGGAGGTAATGAAGCAGGAGACTGATGATACAAAAGAAGGGATAACTAACTCATATTCTGCAAGAGGCTGGATAGGACTATATGGGAGCAGAGGTGAAAAGATTTACACGGAGTAGGGAGTGAGCCATTACTCCCTTTGAAACGGAAGGAAAGGCAGAACAGCATGGAGATAGTTTGAGGTGAAGAGTAGAGAAGTTGATAGGTTTCAAGTTGGATGGTCTTAATAAACTTAATAAAAGGAATGCTGAGAATAAAGCACACAGAAAAGAAGTAGGAGCTAGCGCTAAATGAGTGAGAAGATTTAAAAAATGATGATAATAAGATTACAAAAGAGCAGTGGGGCCAAAAGAAGATAAAATAAAATGAATTACTGTAGCCCCAGCATATGATACAATAACATCAATTTGTTATAGTCCTGATTGGTACAATTTTGTGATTCTCTCCAACGGCATTCAATAATCCCCCCAAAAGAAAGCAGAAATCAAAGGTTATCCAAAGTTAGCAATTTCCCAAGGAAGTAAAATAGAAAGTCACTAAATTAAAAGGTTACTGGATGTTGAGAACACCACTAATTTAACTGATTACTGTGTTTGAGCTTAGTAAAGAGTTAAGTAAAACTACGAAGTACCAGGGGAAAATATGTGGGAAAGACCAAAGGACAAGAGGCCACAATGATAATCAATAACAATATAATAAAAATGAAAGGATCGAAGAATTTGATAGAAAAGATGTTTTGTGTACAAAGTCTTACATTTGAGATGTCTATGGAGAATGGCTGTGCATCTACAGATTGAAAATTATAATTTTGATGTCAGCCTTGAATTTGGCACATTCAGTGCAGCAAAGTATTTGGTAAACACACTAATGTGGGTGCTAACAATGCCACTGAGAAGTGAGTAACTTTGAAAGAAATATTTGAATTCAGTACCTGTTATGATATACTACGGCTGTATACGCTTCCTTTGAAAATTCTGAACAGCTAGATTTACCAAAGATTACCTGAAACAAATAACAGCATGTTGAAACTTTGTTGTAATAAATGCTGGATGTTTCATATCTATGTAAGAATTTGTCTGATTTAATAACTATTTGAGAAAAATGGGCAAAATCAGCCCAATGAAGATCAATGTGCCTAACGACGTTCATTAAAAAGTTCAATTGCTTAACTATAAATCTCAATGGTAGACCCATCTAACATTCAAACATTCAAAAATTTTCTTTCAATTATATTTATATCTACTGGGCAATAAGGTACATTTCTTTCCTT